CAGAGATTACCCCATGATGAGAGCACCCCCAAACAGGAGTGACGCAGCTTCAAGAGCGGCTTGTCCCCTCAGGCAATATGGTTTTCATCTGGTCACCCTGCAGAAGGAGCTGAGAGGATGGTCAGCACAGGTCCACCCCGTCAGGACTGCTGATTCCACCTGCCTCTGTCCCCTGCTCCTTCTCTCCCTCCATCATACGGGTGTGGGCAGGGGGGCGGTGAGAGAGATCGCTACACCCCTTTATCTGTCCCTTTTTCCAACAAGGGCACATGGATTAAATCTCCTTTCTCTGCTTTTTTACCGTCTGTCATCTCTTTAGAGACTGGGACAAGTGACTCATCTAGTTACTTGCTTGGCTCTCACAGCCCGACACTTTGCCCCAAACTCCTGCTCAGTGGCAGGCGACTGCTAAGGCCCCAGTCCCAGGGGCAGGACAAGTAAGAGGCCCTGGGAGGAAGGAACTGAAGTTACCAGCAAGCAGAGGCCACAGGGCCTGAGACAACTGAAAGAAGGCTACAACAGGAAGAACACGCAGCAGTATGGCCTAGAGGGACCAGCAGCACACCTCTGACTCCTGTTCCTGTCCTGAGGGCCCTCTTAGGTCCTCTTACAGAAGTCCCTATCTTCCTTGTTCCCTGTCTTGTGACAGCAGCCTTTGCATCTCAGGACCTCCGGGACTTGCGCTATCTCCTCCGTTGTCTAAGGGACCGGAACAACCCGTGAGCTTCAATGACAAATGGACTCAGACAGATGATAGGGAGACAGACAGATGCTAGGTAGGTAACTAAGTAGATAGACTGATAGAGAAGGCAGATGTTTTGTCTTGAGATGTCACCTCGCTACGTCACCTGGATAGCCTTGAACCCTCAGTCCTCCTGCCTCTGCCTGAGTACCCAGATGACCAGCGTGTGCCACCGTCTCCCGAGAGCTCATTTTTCACAGGCAACCCCATCAATCCCGAGCCTCCCCCTGAGTCATCCTTATTGAATCCTTACACACCAAGCCAATACTCCCCTGCTGCAGAGCTTCTCTGACTAGACGTGAAGCAGGCTAAAACTTGTAGCTTAGGATGAACTTGAACTTCTGACCCTCCTGCCTCCACCTCTCTGGTGCTGGGATTGCAGGTACGAGCCACCAAGCTTGGTTTACAATTGCGGGGATTGTGCTCAGAGCCATGTGTGTGCAAAGATCTTCCAGTTGAGTTACAAACCCTGACCTGTGGCTGTGGGATGAGGTGACCCAGGCCTGTAACTTCAACAACTAGGAGCTAGAAGCAAGAGGATTGAAAGATTGAAGCTATGGGCTGGAGAGATGGCTCAGTGGTTAAGAGCATTGCCTGCTCTTCCAAAGGTCCTGAGTTCAATTCCCAGCAACCACATGGTGGCTCACAACCATCTGTTATGAGGTCTGGTGCCCTCTTCTGGCCTGCAGACATACACACAGACAGAATATTGTGTACATAATAAATAAATAAATATTTTAAAAAAAGATTGAAGCTAGCCTGGGTTATGTAGTTAGTTCTGGAGCAGCCTGGGCTACATAAAAGACCTTGAATCAAACAAACAAAAGAACTGTTTGCATCACCCCCTATATACCCAGAGTGACATTGGATCAAATACCGAGGTACTTGGTGAGCTGTATAGAAGGGCACGAGGCCACACTGTCCTTGCCGTGTTTGTTCTGGAGCAGTAACCAATATCAACCCTAGGTACTCGGAACCCTGGAGGAGACAGCGTGACCCTCCTTCAATGCCGAGGATGCTGGGCACACTGTCGTCCTTTCTCAGCTGGGGAAAGAGAGGACGTGTATCCTAGCCGTCTACCTCAGAACACGCGACAGGCTCCTCAGCTTCACCAGCCCCCACCACAAAGGTATTAGCTTGCCTTTTTACAACGTGCCAATTGCAAGTTAATTAACTGGCAATTGAGAGTTATAGGCGGCATTAGAATTTATTAATAACATTGGAAGTAAATCTCCCTGGGAATTCAATTAATTGAAAATCTCATGAAATTCTCCATAAAGCAGGTCTGCGAGAGCGAGGCAGTTGGAAGTGCAGGTGCTGGCTCTCCGCGGGGTGGGGAGGGCTTTGGGAAGCCCTGGTCCCTCTCTCTGCCCACTGCCTTCTCACTGCCAAGGCCCTGTCACGTAGGTGTCAGTGATTTGACACAGTGATTTCCTGTGCTGCACCCAGGTCGGCTGGGGACTGGGGACAGGGATGGTTCCTGCACCTGGACAGTCACAGCTGAGCACGGGAGGCTGAGCTAGGGGGTGACTGTTGGATTCAGTGAGTCATAGGTTTGAATGGGGGACCTTCATCACCCCTGGCTGGGGCCCAGTGCTGGAGTGTTTCCACCTCTGCCTCTCATGGTTTGGGGGACAGTCAAGAAGAGGGGATACAGGCGAGACTACTTAGGGACAGAAGTCCCAAGCGTCTGCAGTGGGAAGGGATGAGGATAGGCAGGTGGGGCTTCTGGGGTGGGACAAGAAGCCAAGAAGCTGTATTCGGGCCATCAGGCTGTGTGTGTGTGTGTGTGTGTGTGTGTGTGTGTGTGTGTGTGTGTGTGTTTGGTGTGTGTGTGTTTGGTGTGTGTGTGTGTGTGTGTGAGAGAGAGAGAGAGAGAGAGAGAGAGAGAGAGAGAGAAAGAAGGGCTAGAGGAAAGGAGAGGAAGGGATGGAGGAAGAGCATATGTTTTAGCTGGGTGATGGTAGCATACGCCTTTAACCCCAGTGTTCAGGAGACAGAGGCAGAGGCAGGCGGATCTCTGAGTTTGAGGCCAGCCTGATCTACAGAGTGAGCTCCAGGGGCAGCCAGGGCTACACAGGGAAACTTGGCTCGAAAGACCAAATCAAACCAAAACCACATATGTTTTTGTAGCTCTGTCCCTTTACCCAGGGACAAAGGGGTGTGACCATTCTCCATTCTCAAGCCCCCGCTTCCTGTCAAAGTCCAGCTTCAAACCCTTGTCCTCCTCCAGTCTCTCCAGGACGGAGTAATCCTGACTGTGAGTGCAGAGGAGAATCACACACCCACCTGGCCCACTTAAGGAGGTAGTGGCATGTTCATCACCCGGAGAGGGCAGGTGACGTCCCCAACTGTCTGTCTCGGTTCCATTTCTCCCATCCTTAGCTTTTGGTTCCAGGCTACGGAAGTGGTCCAGGGTCTCTGCCTTCTCCTGCATATTTGATGTCCATCTTCTTCACTGAATTTTAACTCTGGTCAGATGTCAACTCTGGTTTGGAGAGGCCCAGGCACGCAGAGAGGGCCTGGTGGTACCGAGGTCTACAGTGATCCAGCAGCCATTCTGGACCCCACCCTGATCTATGGGGCTTGCTTCTTGAGTATTTGGGCTTCTCTGGTGTTCTAGGGAGGAATTAATTTATCGCTGACCCAGGTCTGCACAGGTACAGAGACAGGGTACAGGAATCTGCACTGCCCTGGTATGATGTGAGTTGTCTCTTAAGCCCTCATCAGAATAACTCCACCTCAGAGCACACCACCTTGCAGCCGTTCCCCATCCCAGAATGCCACGAAAACAAGCCGTCTCTCCCATGACCAGACACTGCTTGCCCTGAGCAGCAGACCCCTTGAAAGGGCAAAAGCAGACTTCACATTAACATATAACATTCCTAGATTCTGAGTCTTTATAGTATTGTTATTACTTATTGTTATTGTGTGTGCGCCATGTGCTGTGGGATGCACTGCGGAAGTCAAAGCAGTCAAAGGACAGCACTGTGGAGCTGACTCGCTCCTTCACCTTGATGCCGGTTCCTGGGATCGAACTCAGGCCCCCGGGCTCGTGTAGCAAGCTCCTCTCACCGGTCACCGAGTCTGGTTTGTTGTGCCTTACATTGTCTGAGTCTGTGGTCACCTCTACTGCTTTGACACTAACTGTATCCCACACTCAAGCTGGTACAGACTGTGTTGAGACTCGGAACTCTGTGAAATTGGAGTGTGGTGGGTGGGTGGGTGGGTGATTGACACCTACGAAGGAGGAAATGGAGCTGTATTTTTTCCCTTCATGAACTCATCAAATCTGTCAAGATAAGCTTGTCTGAATCATTCTTTAGGCTGCTGATCTGTCCCAGTTGGGAAGTAGGCGTTAATTATACATGTTCCCCCTCCCTCACGTCATGCACCACTTGGCATCCCTCAGTTTAACTCTGCCTTGTACTACTGGCCTGGTGGTGCATGCCATTAATCCCAGCACTCGGGATGCAGAGGCAGGCAGAAATCTGTGAGTTCAAAGCCAGTCAGGTCTTCATAGTGAGATCCTGTCTCAAAAAACAAAACTACAACTCTTTGCCTTGCAGGGCTGGGGCCCCAACTTAGTTTAAAGTCAGCCTTGCTGAAAAGAGTGGCCAACCTTTTCTCTTCCTTCTTTTAAAATTATTTTTTTATTTATGTGTACTCATGCTCATCCGAGTGTTTGTATGTGTGGCTAACTGCAGAGGCCAGAAGAGGGCATTGGACACCCTAGAACTGGAGTTTCAGGTGGTCGTGAGCTGCCCAAGGTGGGTGCCACACACGGACCTTGGATCCTCTTGCAAAGACAAAAAACTATCTTAGGTGCTGAGACATCTCTCCAGCCCCATCTTAAAAATATAGATTATTTATTCATTTGTGTGTAGGGGCACACGTGGAGGTGAGAGGATAACTGGCAGGAGCCAGTTCTCTCCTGCCACGTGGGTCCTGGGGACTGCACTCAAGTCACCAGGCTTGGTGGCAAGTTCTTTTACCCATAAAGCCATCTCAAGTACTCCAAACAGCTATTTTTGAGGGGTCCCTTTCCTCTTCTAGCTGAATTCTTGGGTTCCTCTGCCCCGGAAACCTTAAAGTCACCCCAGAGCTGGATACAGTTGTTCATCAGTTCTCTGGCTGGGTGAAGGTCCAGCCTCCCGACAGCTGCCAAGTCACAGGAAGGCCACAGTGGGGAGAGCACCTTTATTTGAAATAACATCACAGGTCTCAGATCACCTCTTGTTAGGGACAGAGAAGAGCCCAGGGATAGCCAACAGGACCCAGGGGGACAAGGACACAGCCTTGCGTAAGCACCAAGATCTTTAGGGATGGTCACTCCTGCCAGGCAGGGAGACATGCCTGAGGGTGGTTCCAGGCCTTCTGCTCTCTGAGTATAAGGGGTTGTGGCCCGGTGGGAGGAGCGCCAGGGTAGGTGGGTCATAAGAAGCCAGCACAAGGCAGAGAGGCCTTCAGTGCTGTGGACCAGCTCTGCTAGGACCCAGCCCCAAGGCATGGCATCGAGCGAGCCTAGGACATACGCAGCTTGATTCTCGGTCAAGGGGACGTGGGCTTGCGTTCCACCCACGCAGAAGGTTCTAGAGACTTCCATGAAAGACTGACAGTGATGGAGGCTGTAGGCCCTACCCTGGATGGACAGTCCCGTTAAATGCTCTCTCCTTTTCCATGGGGGAGGACAGGCGAGGGCCAGTGGGCTCAGCAAGCCTGGGAGACAGGAGGGAGCACTGCCAATCAGATTCAAAAGCCTCTCCTCTGAGCCCCAAAGACCCTACCTCTTGGTCCCCAAGTCCCCTTGGAAGCTACCCCTTGTCCCCAGATCCAGGAAGAGACCGGAAGAAGAGGGGCAGGTCCAAAGTCCTGGGGTGCCCCATGTCTTCTCAGGTGGCCCTGCCTCCCAGCAGCCCCGCTGCCTCAGGAGTGCCCTGGGCCACGCACCTCATGATGAGGGGAAGAAGCTAGCCAGGGCTGTAAGTCATGGCTTCAGCAACAGCGAGGCCTGGGTTACAATACCATACACGCCCCCACTGATATCCAGGATCTGGTCACGCGTACTCTCCACACCTCGGTCCCCACGCTGAGTGGGTCTCACAGACCTACCTTTTAAGGGTTAAATGAGACAGTATAGGGAAAGCACCTGGGCTGGCCCTGACCCCTAATGGAGCGGGGGCTCAGCCATTGAGAATCATGATTATTCTCCTGCCTGCCATCCAGCCCACCCAGACCCCGTCTCCAGCCGGGAGTGGGAGGGAGGGGATAGGGGCAAAGAAAGGTCCTGTCAGGGTGCTAGTCTGCACTGGGCCTTGCCCCTTGGAGGCAGCATCTGTCCCCACGGACCCCAGGCTCCCAGCGTCTTTCACAATCGTCCCTGCCTGATGCCCAGCCCCACATGGGGCGTCTTCAGGGTGCGGTAGCTGTTGAGCCCCAGGGCTGGGCTTGTTCTTACTTCCTGTCACCAGCCCGGTCCACGCTCTTTTGTGCAGGGTCAGGGCCCAGCAGGGCAGCCAGGATACCATCAGGTTGAGGGCCTCCCCGCTTCATCTTGAGATTGGCTCTCAGGGCCGCGTCCTGCCCAGAGCCTCCTTCAGGGGAGGCCAGGGGATCTGGAAGGAGGGCAGCAGGGGTGTTCAAGTCAGCCTCAGTTTACTGAGCAGGCTCTGCCCCCAGAGCCTGGGCAAGCCCAGTGAGAGGAGGCAAGTAGGCCTCGCTCACTCATTCACTAACAAACGCAGTCACTGATTTGTTCATTCAGCAGCACACACACGCATTCACCTATTAATTTACTCACCCATTCATACATACACTTCCCCATTCAGCTTCCCTCCCATTCATCCTTTCACCCCTGTAGTCAGGCTCATTCACTTTCCCATTGATCCACGTGCTCACCCCCTGTGCACCCTTTGATCCACCTCCTTGTGCCCGCATCCATCCCTTCATCCACCCCCCCTTCTCCCATCCACCCTTCCTCCTAGTCACCCTCCCGTCTGTTTGTTCCTCCGGTCACCACCTCTCGACTCACCGGCCCACTTATGCTTTAACCAGCAGCAAGTGGCCTGAGCTTCAGACCCTGCAGAGGAACCAGCCACCCCCAGCTTAGATAAGGACTCCCCAGGAAGATGCGGGGGAAACTCCTTTCATGGTGACAAGGACGATTAGGACAAAGAGGAGGACTCAGGACAGCTTCACCACATTCTGATTTGGTCAGTGGTCAGCAGGTGGAGGGACTGGCCTGGGCAACCCATAGAGGTGGGAGGCAGCCTGGCTTGTGTAGGCGTGGCTGGCCATCCCCTGTGAGGCCGGAGAGTGGGTTTTGACACTGAATGTCCTTGAGCAGACAAGGGACGGGAGCAGAGGGGTTTAGTGCAGGCCATCTGGCATTAACATGGTGGAGTCCCTGAAATCAGGGGACCACACAGCTTTAGCAGCCCCCAGGAGGTCAGTAGGTCATGGGAAAGTGGGAGGCCTGCATGCTACTCACCGTGGACCCCAATCATGTGTTCCAGGATGAGGACCCTCTCTGCCAGGATCTTCAGGGCTTCTCGAAGCTGCTGCACACCCTCACCCTGATGCGGATGAAAAGCCAAGTTCAGGGTCTCAGTCAGGCTGGGGTGGGACAGGGGCAGAGGCTATGCAGACACAGTGGACATTCCTCATAGCCCTGCCTCTTCTGCAACGTCCACACCATTACAAACAGACATCGGAGCCAAGCACTGGCTGTGTCCCAGGCTGGTGCTCCAAACAGGGCTCACTAACGACCAACCCGAAACCCAGTCAGCCGGCATCTCCATAGCGACACAGCATGAATTGCGCCGACTGGGGCTTCAACTCTAGACCCAGTGGGCTCAAGCCTAAGTTCTTCTCCTGCCGTGGTTTTCTAAGGGCTCCTTCCCAGCGTGCCCTATGATGATTCTGTTTGTTAGTTTGACACAAGATGGAGTTATCTGGAAAAAGTACCCTCAGTTGAGACAATGCCCCCATCAGATTGGCTTCTAGGCCAACCCATGGGGCATTTTCTGATCGATGTGGGAGGGCACAGTCCACTGTGGGTGGTGCCATCCCCTGGGCAGGTGGCCCTGGACTGTATCAGAAAGCCAGCTGAGGAATCCACGGGAAGCAAGCCCGTAAGCTGCACTCCTCCATGGCTTCTGCATCAGTTCCTGCCTCCAGCTTCCACCCTGAGTCTCTGCCTCGACTTCCCCTGATGATAGACTATAACTTGTAAGCTGAAACGCCCCTTTCCTCTCCACACCGCTTTCTGTCATGATGTTTATCTCAGCAGTAGAAAGCAAACAGACAAGCAGCATGTATTAACGGCCGAGCTGTCTGTCCAGCTCGGACTTATCCCGTGTTCTCGCTCCAGCAGCCCTCTGCCTCCCACCACATAAAAGATCATCTCAGGAAGGTCGTGCAGCTAAATGCAGGAGCCCAAGCCATAAAGCCTTTAGAAGGAAATGTAGGTGTCGGTAATTGTAACCATGTGTTAGGTGGTAGCTTCTTTGATGTAGCACTTAACATACAAACAATGACTGAGAACAAAGACCAATCAAGTGCCTTAAACGAGATATTCTTCCCCGATGAGGAATGATGTTACAATGAAAACTCACTCATAAAATGGGGGAAAACTTTTGCAAATATTGGACACACTATTGGATTGCTTTTAGCCCGGATATACGAAGAACTCTTACAAGCTTTGGCTTCCCTGATGACAGACTGTAACCCGAAATCCAAACGAACCCTTTTCTCCCCGAGTCCCTTCGGTCACAATGTTTATCACAGCAACAGAACTCTAACTAGGACAACATCTTCCAGAAAACACCAAGAGGCGAGAGCACGCAACTTCGGGCCTACAGGTAGAGAAAGTGACGGCGCCTGCCTGGACTGTCCACCCGAGAGCATTGGCCACATCAGCGTTGTGGAGCAGGCCGGGCCAAGCCAGAAGGAGACTGGAAACAGTCAAGCCTCCCAGAGTGCTGGTAGGAGCTAATGCCAGCACATAGCCAGAACTTCATTCCTCGTGGCTTTGTGTGTGGAGATACCTGACCATGCCAAGGTGAGCTGCTGCCCTTGAGAAGACGGACACCAGGGCCAAGCAAACCAGGTGGCCAAGGGGCTGGAGTCAGGGAGGCTGTGTGGCTCTGCCTGTGGAACACGGCAGACCTGCTATTCCACTCAGAGTCAAAGAGAGTTCACTGGTTGGTAGGAGTGAAGTCCCCAGTAGGAAACAGAAGGCAGCTATGGGCAGGGTCCATGTCTCTTAGCTGGGGAAGGGCTCTGGGTGGGGGATGAGGTCTTTAGGGTTTCTCTGTCTGACCTCCAGACAAGATGTCCTTCTTCCCCTCCACTCTTCTCCTTCCCCTCTCCTCCCTCCCCCTTCCTTTCCTTCCTTCCACTTCCTTCCTGTCTCTTTTCCTTTTCCCTTTTCTCCCTGTCCTTCCCCTCACCTCTCTCCCTCTCCTCTTCCCCCTTCTCCCATCTTTCTGATGCTTCCTCTCTCATCTGATTTCCCTTTTTCTTCCCTTCCTTGTGTGCTTGGTTTCATTGTGATTGTTTTTTAGGCAGGGTCTCATTATGTAACCCAGGCTAGCCTTGAACCCATGTCTCTTCTGTCTCAGTCTCCTGAGCACCAGGGTCTCCCATTCCTTAAGTACAGCAAGAATTTCCCAAAGCTCCTATCCCACTCCCCATGCCCTGGCTCAACCTCACTCCCGCAGCCCAGGCCTCTTCTACTCTGCTCCAGCTCCCCCAGCTCATCCCTTCCACACATACAGGAAGCCCTCAGTAGGCACTTCCCTTCCCAGCCAATTTTTGCTGTTGTCCTTTATTTGTTTTTTGATTCCCCACCTCACTGGACCTCCACCTTTCAAGGTCCCCCATGCTGGCTGAGGACAACCTTGAACTTCATCCGTGCTGGGCAAGCACTCTACCAACTGAGCCACGTTCCCAGCCCTGCTTTTACAGCTTCCCCTGGGGACCCCGGCACCCTAGTTCCCTTTTCTCCACCTCCAAGCTCTTGGCCCAGTTTTCTCTTGCTTGCCCCAGGCTTTTCTTGTTCCCATCATCCCTCATTAGGATCTGAAGTTGAAGCCCCTTCCTCCACCTGTCGCGCCTTACATCCACCAGCCACTCCTGAGAAGGCTCCTCCCGTGCCAGACCCCAGGGTCAGTTGCCGCAGCTGTGGCACGCCCACAGTTGCAAAACTGTTCACACTGTCACTGTGTTGGGCTTGAATTGCCTGGGGACTAAGAGAGACTCTATCCTCAGCAGCCAGTATCCAGCCCAGGGCTGGCCTTGGGGCGCCCAGCTTTCCCCGCTAGTACAAGATGCTGTGGAATAATCCTTTTGTACACTGTGAAGATGTGTTGCTATCATTGGTTTAATAAAGCACCAACTGGCCAATAGCTAGGCCAGTTGGTTAGGTGGTTAGGCAGGAGATCAGACTGAGAGAATGCTGGGATGAAGAAGGGTGGAGTTGCGAGGAGACACAGGAAGAAGAAAGATGAACGTGCTGGGCTGAAAAAAGGTACCGCCAGAACATGGTAGAACATAGATAAGAAGTATAGGTTAATTTAAGCAGTAAGAACTAGTTAGTAACAAGCCTAAGCTATCAGCCAAACATGTATAATTAATAAGTCTCTGTGTGGTTATTTGGGAACTGGCTGACAGGATGGAAAATTCCACCCACAACAGAAGACACTGCCAACAGGCACAGTTACCTCTGCAGTGGCGGCTTTGTCCTCTTCTCCTTCCTTCACACTGGGCTCACCCTAGGAAGCAAGTCTCATGGTCAAGATATTGGGTGACATGCAGAGACTGAAGACAGACGGTCTGGCGTGAGACAAGGGAGGGAGGGCATACATCAGGACATTACTTGTTCTGCCCATCATACAGACATGTATTGGATCTGAAATGGGGGACTTGGAGAACTCATGTGTTAGCTCTTGTGGGTGTTCTTTAAATCACCTTTGCTTCTGGGCTCTGTTTCTCTGTCTATTAAATGGAACCAGTAAGACTAGCTTCGTAGCATAGCATATACATGGCCAATGACTACTTTGTGACTTTGAGAGGGTTGCTTAACCTCTCTGTGCCTCCATTGCTCACTGCTAAAGATGATTAATAATGATACCCATCTTACTGCTATAAAGGGGGTGGAGTAGATTAACACTAAGCAGGAGCTTAAACTAGCCTGGGTTCTAGAAGTGCTGTCAAAGTTGTTACTGTCATTTTTTACTAGGCAGAGGCACAGGAGAAGTTAAGTTTTGGAGGCTGACACTTCTGAGTCCAAAATTCCAGCAGTACTATTGTGTAGCTGTGTGACTTTGGGGAAATAATTTAATTTCTCTGAGCCTCACCTGCCAGTTCTGATAAATCAGTATAATAAAGTGTAGTCTGGATAGCAGGTAGTGAGGCTTAAATACATGATGAAAGCTACTCCCTGATACTGTATGTATCAGCACACAGTAGATATTCAGCAGAGACCATCCTCCACCCCCTGACCCTGATATCAGTCTCTTTGGCCTTGGAGACTGGAGCTGAGACCCATAAATTCTTGTGTTTGAGAAGGGTCATGGAGGCCAGCTGTCTAAGCACCAGACTCTGGGAGGTTCAGAGAACCAAAGAGATCTTCCCAGGCATACAGATCATGAATCTATGGCCTTATGCTACACAACTCCAGACAACTTGGCATATTAATCCAGGTAAGCTGTGACTAGACCTTCCCAGGACAAGTCCAAACTTTAGGTCATTTCCACTCTTGCCACACTCCCTGGCAGGAGTCCCGGGTGATCTCGAAGTCACCCCTTTTCTGTTGGGGCAGCTCAGGCTGTACCTGGTTCTTGCTCTCCAATCCCTCTCCTAGTTGGGACAGACAAGCCTTTGTTTAGAGACACTATGGGGTTGAGCACAGACATGGCTCCCAATTTCCCAGTGCCCAGCCCATACTTACAGATGACCTTGCCACAACCCACTCATCTATCAGTCCCTGGAATAAAAGGTCAGTGGGGCTCTCCTGCCTTTGATGTTTTCTGCCTCTGGCCCCACCTATACTGGGTCCCAGCAGAAGAGGAAGCTAGAAGTTCAAACTTGGGACCTGACTGTGTCTGCAACTCATCCACAGCAGAGGTCTGACACTGAGTCTTGGGCAAGCTTTTGATCTAATCTCTTATACAGTAAATCAATGCCAAGCATGAGTATTAAGCAGAGGAGGAAAACAGGTGACTTAGCACTTGGGCAGAAAAACCTACAAGTGGCCAAGGCAGGAAGGGTCTTATATGTGCGGATCCAGCGTTTACATGTGCTGAACCCAGAGCTTAAATATGCAGTCATCTCCTGGCACCCAGATGATCACAATGTACTCCCCAACCTTTCACCAAGTTGGAACCCTAGCTCCCACACTCATACAGTGAGCCAGAGGAACCTTCTAGAAATGTAAACAATTGCATAAGAAATCACTTCCAGCTCAATCAGTTCCACCCATATGACAGAAACCTTCACAGAGATAAGACACAGACACCTCACCTGGTCTCACAACCCACTCTCCTTTCACTACCAGCCTTGTCCCTAGATCAGGGCATCAGCACTTGTATTCCTTTCTCTAAACTGATGGACCACATGGCTGGAGAGGCAGAGCAATTCTAAGGTTAGGGCCTTGCTTCCTCTCCAATAGGTGATCTCCAGTAGAAACAAGGGTTCAGGCATCACTGGGTGACCTGCTGAGAATGTCTATGTGGCTTCCAGCAACATCTAAGCTCTCTGGGACTGAGCTCATCAAAAGAATGGGAGTTGTACCACACTGGGACATTAACACTGCAGTCTATTCCCTGTACTACAACAGAAATGGCTGAGTCCTTACCTGGGATCCAGGTGCTCCTGGAGGTCCTGGAGGACCATGTGGTCCTGGGGGACCTGTGGGTAGAGTCATTGGTGAACACTTAAGGACAGAAAAGCTCACTGCTTCCCCACCAGACCTGAACAGGGGCATTCCCAGCATTCTGACCTTGCCCTGGGTCTCCCCCTTCCCACTAGTAGCAAATGAATATTTGGTGAATATCAGAAAAGACTCAGATTCTCCATATCCCTCCCACCCTCTGCTCTCAGAGGCCCACCTCCATCCACCCATCTTCTTCCCTTTTTTTTTTTTTTTTGTTTTTTTGTTTTTCGAGACAGGGTTTCTCTGTAGCTTTTGGTGCCTGCCTTGGAACTAGCTCTTGTAGACCAGACTGGCCTCGAACTCCCAGAGATCCGCCTGCCTCTGCCTCCTGAGTGCTGGGATTAAAGGCATGTGCCACCACTGCCCGGCTTCTTCTTCCCTTTCTAATCCACCTGGTCACCCCAATCCTGAGACCTGGCGACTGAGCAGGGAGCTCACTCACAATATCCCAGCCCAGCCTGTCAGTCTTCTGCCAATTTGGAAACCTAGAACCATCTGCCCTTCAGTTGCCCCAAGACCCCTGGACTCAGTACTAAGGATGAAGCTGGGTAGCATACTTGACTGGGTGGGTTCCTAGCATAACACAGACCAGGTGGAGTGGGGCTACTTCAGCAATCCCAGAATTTGGGAGCTAGAGGCAGGAGGACTAGAAGTCAAACATTATCCTTGGTCACACAGAGAATGGGAGGCCAGCCTGGGCTACATGTTACCTTGTCTCAACAAATAAATAGATAAAGTAGGAAAAAGTCCTTTGTTCTCAGGACAAGCCCAAGAAGGAATCTTCAATCCACTCACCAGGAGGGCCAGGGGGACCCCGGGGACCTGGGACACCTGTCAGCACTGTGTCAACCACAGCAGGGTTCAGCTGGGAGTCTCCATCTGCAGAGAGAGTCATATGATCAGTGACCAGGTGGGGTGAAGGTGGCCAATCTGGAGGCCAAGTCTGAGGGGTTAGTGGGCTCCCCAGAGCTGAGTCCAGTACCCTCACCCTGTGTGTGAATGGACACACTGCATTTATTGCTCAGAAGCATCAGGGTTAGGGGTGAGGAGGTGGATCAGTGGTTAGAGCACTTGTCACACAAGCTTGAAGACCCGAGTTTGAATCCCCAGCATCCACATAAAAGCTGGGAGTGGTAGCGCCTGCCTGCAATCTCAACACTGGGGCCTGGAAACACCAGCTTTGTTGACTGCCCAATCAGCACGCTCCAGGTGCAGTGGGGGACCCTGTCTCTAATAATATTGTGGAGAGCAATGGTGGGGGGCACTCAGCTCAACCTTTGCCCTTTACACACACAGGTATACACCTGCACAAACACATACATAGCACACACACATGTTCACGCATGTACACACACATGCATATATACATGTACATCAGAGTGGACCCTCTGTTGGGCTCCTCGTGGCTTGTGGGTATATTTTAGTGGCCATTATGATCATTACCTGCTCCTCAACACACCTGCCTGTACCCTAACTAGGGGCATTTCTTCAAGGAAGCCCGGGCTACAGATGAAAGTCAGAACTGGCCTTTGCCCCACCTGGGACCCTCTGAACCCACCTAGACTCCCATCTGACCTTGGGGACAAGCCCAACTCTGACTGTAAGCACTCAGGGACTGTGTATTTCAACCTCCAGAGTGGCTTTCTTAGGGAGCATGGCTTTACAACTGGGGAAACTGAGGCCTGGATGAAGGAAGTTATCAGTGCTATGGTGAGGTTTGTGTTATATGTATTCGGTTGAACAGGGGTCTCCCCTACTCCCTTCCTGTGACAGCTAACATGAACTCCATACCATACTGTCAGCCACGGGCCCTACCCATCCTCTTCTTCTTCGGGATTTCACTTTGGGAACTGGCACGATGGCTCAGAGGGTAAAGGCATCTGCCACCAAGCCTGACGACCAGAGTTTGAGCCCCAGGACCGCATGGTAGGTGGAGAGAACTGACTTCTACAAGTGCTCCATCCTATGACCTCTACACGTGAACGGTGGCACGCCCCTACTGATAAGTAAATATAGTAAGCTTACTTTAGATTGCTCTTCTTCTGATGCAATTGTTTATTTATTTGTGTGGTACTGGAGATTGAGTCCCATGTCTCATGCATACTACATAGATGTTCTATCACTGAGCCACACCCCGGCCCTCACTGGGGGATTCTAGGCAGGGGCTCTACCACTGAGCCACACCCCAGCCCCTCACTGGGGGATTCTAGGCAGGGCTTCCACCATTGAGCCATGTGCCCTAGCCCTAATTTTTTAAAAATACACTTAATTTTTTTTTTTTTTTGAGACAGGGTTTCCTTGTGTAGCTTAGACAGGCCTTGAGTTTGTTATGTATTCCAGATTGGCTTAAAGCTAGCAGTAATTGTCCTGCCTCAGTTTCCCGAGAGCAGGAATTTAGGTTTGTGATATCATGCCCAGCTTCTCCAAGATTTTAAAATAACCCCAGGGGTTAGGGTTAGAGTTATGGTTATGATTATGGTTATGGTTACGGTTAGAGTTATGGTTATGGTTATGGTTAGGGCTAGGTTTAGGGTTAGGGTTAGGGTTAACATTAGGGCTAGGGTATCATTTGAGTTAGGGACAGGGCTATAGTTAGGCTTAGGTTTTGGGTTAGTGTTTGGTCCCTATTCAAGCTTGCTGTTCCTTTCAGAGTAACAGACTCCCACCCTCAAAGAGGTCCCTAGACCCAGAGTCTTTAACCCCTTCGGGCTGTGTCCTCATAAAGCTGGTATGTTTTGTACTCTTTGGCCCATAACCACCCTGAGGTCCCTAGAGACCACGTAGATCTATTTCGTCACATTTTGTGCTCAGTCAACACTGTAGGGAGTCTCACTGTGATGAGACCTTAGAAGGAAACGTGACAAAGGGTGTCTGCAGTGGGGTCGCCTTGCCAGCGAATAGAGCCAATTACAGTTGTAAGTGGGATGCGTCAGACCCAGTCAGGTGAGCCTTGAGGCCCAGAGCAGGGTTGGAGGCCACGCCATTTTCTCAGGCAATCCTCCTTCAGAACAAAGTCTCATTTCCTGGCTATCCCCACCATGGTGGGCTCCCAGCTTCTCTAGGATCCCTAGGGGAATTCTAGTTTTCCCGTACAGACAACTTAGCTCAGCCGGTCCCTCCCACCCCGGCACCCAGCACTCACTCTCCTTGTCTGTGGGTGGCTGCAGGGAATACAGGACACCTTGGGGGCTGTTTGGCAAGAGGCTGGGACTGCCTGCTGGGCCAGGAGGGCCTGGTGGACCAGGGCGCCCCATCTCTCCAGGGAGCCCGCGTGGTCCCGGTGGCCCCAGGAGACCTACAATGCAGAGCAAAGGGTTAAGTGAGACTGACCAGTGTGACGTCACAGACAGGTAACCGAAGGCCTGAAAGGGCAGAGGAGTGGCCGGGGTCATTTGGGCACTCAGTGACAGGCCTCTGCACCAAAGGAGGGTTAATGAGAAGGGTTCCCCTTCCAGGTAGGGGACACAGGGACAGCAGAGGACAGACATGATAGCATTTGAAGAAGTGGATCAGGACTCTAGAGGAGTTGAGCTCTGGAGCAAGGACTGAGGGTGGGGCAGTTCTGAGCAGGGGCTGGGGTTCTGCAGCACTCAGGGGATCATGGGATTCCTGAGTGATGTTTCGGGTGCTTGGGACAAACCCCTAGTCCTTAGCAGTCCCACCCCACCCTAAAGGCCCTTATAGAATTTTGTCCTGTGGTAGCCCAAGATTGGAGAGGGAGAAGGGTGATAGGAAATGCAATGGATTTGAGGCTAACAAGCAAGATTAGGGTGCACGGAATGTCACCACCGCTCAGGTACAAAGCAAATCACAGTCTCTTACTCCAGTGGACAAAGATTCCTTACCTGGAGGTCCTACTGGTCCCTTTTCTCCTGTCTGGCCCCGGTCACCTTTGGAACCTGGGGGCCCTGCAGGCCCCGGTGGTCCCATCTGTCCTGGAGGTCCTGGGGGAGAGAATAATGGATGGGCACTGTAGACTCACAGTGCCATGGAGGCTACAGTTCTGGGCACATATAGACTCTGTGCTCAGATGAGTTGTTGACAGGTGCTCTCCACTGAGCCACACCCCAGCCCCTCACTGGGGGATTCTAGGCAGGGGCTCTCCCACTGAGCCACACCCCAGTCCCTCACTGGGGGATTCTAGGCAGGGGCTCTACCACTGAGCCACACCCCAGCCCCTCACTGGGGGATTCTAGGCAGGGGCTCTACCACTGAGCCACACCCCAGCCCCTCACTGGGGAATTCTAGGCAGGGGCTCTCCCACTGAGCCACACCCCAGCCCCTCACTGGGGGATTCTAGGCAGGGGCTCTACCACTGAGCCACACCCCAGCCCCTCACTGGGGGATTCTAGGCAGGGGCTCTACCACTGAGCCACACCCCAGCCTCCTGGGTGTACCAGCCATTAGAGCTGACAAGCTGTCTTTCCCTTCTGGGATCCCAATAACTGTGTTTGTTCCCCCCTTTTACACATGGGTAAACTGAGCAGCAGAGAGGAACAAACTCCTGCTCCTGGCTACAGAGCCAGGGTATAGCTTGTTTTCACACATCAAATCTGTTCCTTCTTGCTTAAGGTCCAGCACTTGTGGCAGATGAGCCCAAGCTGCCCTGCAGGGTCTGCAGGGTCCGGCCTCCTGCTTTGAAGCACTATCCTCTTGAAATGTTCTAGAGGCCTGAGAGCAGCCGTGGTGCAGGTCCAGTTATCCCAGCGCTACAGAAGCTGAGGCAGGAGAATCAAACGTTCAGAGACAGTCTGGTGACAGGGGAACTTTGTCTCATGGTTAAGTCAACTAAGGGTCATTCATGGTGCTCACCATTTAAATTGCATTAGACCCTGGTCCATGAGGAGGAGTTGGGCTGGCAGTGTCTGTGTGTGTGTGTGTGTTTTAAAAAGTGCCTCTTGCTGGGAACTTCCTCAGGCCAGGGAGGCAGGAGTCACCATTAGTAGAGAGTGTCTACCACCTTCTGGCCATTGCTGGAACTTCACTTTCTCTGATAAAGTCCCAGCCAAGCGCATCAGTGAGTTTTGAGACAATCCATGAAGGAGATTTGGGGCCTGTGTCCTTGTGGAGATGGGATAAAGGGCAGGAGTGTGATCTCAGAGGTGAATCCTGGGATTCGCTGGAAGGATGAAGAGAGAAGCAAATCGTGCCCCCGGGGTCTTGTGGGGCTGTGGATCACCAGCAAACTGGGTGACCTGGGGCAGTTACCTCTGTTAACTCTGCTGTCCACAGGCCTTGATAAAGCCAGGCCTGACTGTCTGCCACTAAACCCCAGCACAATTGGAGTGGGGTGCCAGAGACGAGGGGACCATGGGGGCTTGTGGGCCTCCAGCCTACATTCAGGTTCAACGAGAGACCCTGTCTCAGTGGAGTAACGTGGAAGGTGACAGACATCCTCCTATGGACCTTGTGTGGAGACACACATGAATTTATGAAAATATCTAGGGACTAACCCCAGGAGACAATGACCCTGTCAATCTTCTAGTTAACTGCCCTCCCCACCCCCACAGACACCCTCACAGTCAACACCTGAAGCCAGCATGAGCCAGATGTCCACCACAGTCAGCTTAAATGTCAACTTGACACAGCCTTGAGTCACCTGACAAGCCAGTCTCAGCTGAGAACTGCCTGGATAAGATTGGCCTGGGGCCTGTCTGTGGGGTTTGTCTTCTTGGTCAACTGATGTAGGAGGCCCCACACTGTGAGGTGGTGCCAGCCCAAGGTGGGTGGTCTGGTCTGTGTATGAAGGCTAGGTAAGCATGAGCCTGGGAGTGAGCTGGGAGTGTGAGCGAGGAATGAGCTGGGAGTGTGAACTGGGAGTGAGCCGGGAGTGTGAGCTGGGAGTGAGCCAGGAGTGTGAGCCAGCAAGCAAAAGTTCTTCACGGTTTTTGCTTCAGCTTCCTTCCCTGACTTCCTTCAGTAATGGACTGATCTGTAAAGGGAAACAAACCCTCACTTCCCCTAAGCCACTTTTCCTTCAGTGTTTCATCAAGCAACAGGAAAGACACCAGGACAAGCAGGCGCTGACAACTGCAACCGAGTTGGCTACAAACAACAGCGCCATTCTGCTGCCTGGTCGCAGAGCCTCGACCTCCAGGGAGAATCTACAGAAAGGAATCCAAGTATGGTGGCCCAGGTCTGCAATTCTAGCACGCAGAAGGCTGGAGCAGGAGGCTTGGGAGCAGGACAACAGAGCTTAGAATGGATCTATAGGGCTCCACGTGGCTTAGGAGCAGCTGAATGCTTCCAGACTTGTCTTTCTGTTTATTACCACCCTGGGACATGAATCCAGAACCTCACACATAATAAGCAGGGGCTCTACACTGAGCCACGCTCCCAAGTCCATTTTATACTTTGAGACAGGGTAGTGTTTTGCTAAGTTGCCCAGGCTGGACTTAAATTCACTGTGGCTCAGGCACACCTTAAGCTTATAATCCCCCCCCCTTTTTTTTGAGATAGGGTCTTTCTTGTAACAGCTCTGACTGTTGTGGAACTCACTTCATAGACCAGACAAGGCTGGCCTTGAACTCACAGAGATTCGCCTGCCTCTGCCTCCGGAGTGTTGGGATTAAAGGCGTGCGCCACCACCACCCCCCCACTCCCCCCCACCCCCGGCTAAAGTTTTGTTCTATTTGACTTGAGTTGATTTTCCCCCAAGACAGTGTTTCTTTGTGAAACAGTCCTGCTGTCCTAGAACTCACTCTGTAGACTAGGCCGGCTTCCAACTCACAGAGATCCGCCTGCCTCTGCCTCCTGAGTGCTGGGATTAAAGGTGTGCGCCACTATGCTGGCTCCTCAATTCTCTCCTTCTACCAGGAGGAGCTGGAGGACTGAACTCAGGTTCTCAGACTTGGTGGCAAGTGCCTTTACCTGCCGAGCCATCTTGCCAGCCTCTGATTACCCTTTTAGAAGATCCTTTATGTTGGTCACAAGGGTGCTGGGGATTGAACCCAGGACACTTCCCCATCACCAAGTTATATCTACACCCTTCAGCATAACTGTAAATGGGATAAATGGTGAATTCTATATTTATGAATTTATTTCAATTAGAAAAAAAATAGAAACTGGGCAGTGGTGGCACACGCCTTTAATCCCAGCACTCGGGAGGCAGAGGCAGGTGGATCTCTATGAGTTCGAGGCCAGCCTGGTCTACAGAGTGAGTTCCAGGACAGCCAAAGATACACAGAGAAACCCTGTCTCAAAAAAACAAAACAAAACAAGAAACCTTATAATCCTCCTGCCTCAGCCTCCCAGGTAGCTGGGATCACAGACCTATGGCACAAGACCTGGCCAGATCTTACACTTTTCTAAGAAGAATGTGAACTCCTGGTGTTATGCTTAATCCACCATTTCTTAGCAATTACTTCAAATTTCAACACACTAAATGAGCAAATCAGACCCAGGAGGCCAGGGTGTGGCCTATGTGTGGAGGCCCTGGGCACCCACTCTGACTTCATTCCCTGGCCGGATTCCTCCCCAGTGGGCCCTGCTCACCAGCTGGACCTGTGGGTCTTCTCCTTCGGGGCCCTGGGTGAGCAATGGGAATGGCATCTGGCAAGAAGTCCTCATTCCAGGTTGGCGGGGTGCTCTGTGGGGGTGGCAGGTCATTGTCTGGGCCTGAAGGCTGCTCAGCAGCTTCCAGCAAGAGGACCTAGTCAGAAAACGGAGGAGGGTCAGGCCCTGGCGAGCAAGGATGGGGGTAGATAACAGGCAAAAAGAATGGGGTCTAAGTACACAACAGAGTATTATTCAGCTATCAAGAGGAGCGCTGTTTGCAGAGAGATCGTCAGGCTAAGCAAAATATAACGGACTCGAAAAGACAAATACTGTACATTTCTCTCACACTCAGAATTTCTCTCTCTCTCTCTCTCTCTCTCTCTCTCTCTCTCTCCTGAGTTGAATACAATTAAAATACATGAAAAAATACAGCATGCACTTTTAGACAACTAAAAACATACATGGGCTGGCCAGATGGCTCAGCAAGTAAATACGCTTGCCACCAAACCTGATGACCTGAGTTCAATCCCTGAGACCCACGCGGCGCAAGGAGAGAGCCGACTCCTACTGCTCGTCCTCTGGCCTTCAAATGCGCACTGTGGCATGTGCGTGCCCCTAACCCCACATCCACAAAAAATAAATAAAATTAAAACTCCTAACGAAAATGGAAAGAAAGTTGGGCGTGATGGGCACACCCATGTCCTCAGTATTTGGGAGGTGGCGACAGGAAGATTAAGAGTAAGAGTTTGAGGCCAGCCTGGGGTACATAGGAGTTCATGGCTAGCCTGGGCTACATGAGACGTGTGTGTGTGTGTGTGTGTGTGTGTGTGTGGTGTTGTTGCTGTTGCTGTTGTTGAAGTAGAACAGGGGCATGGATATGCAAAGACACCCCCCCCCATAGTCCCTGAGACTCAGCTGTGCCCTGCTCACGGTGGGTTATGCCTCTGAGCAGAGTCACATCCTTTGGTAGGTACATCCCTGTCCTTCCTCTCATCAGAAGAATTGTGACTTTCCAGACCCTCTAGTTCATTCTATAGCCACTCGTCACTGTGACTGAGTGACACCAAGCTCCCCCCTTCACTGACACGTGAGACTGTGAGCGTGCGCTGTGTCCCCTCTCTTCGTGGCTTGGTGCTCATATTCCTTCACTATGGAATAACTGAGGATGGACGAATGGACAGACGGATGGGAGGATGGTTGCTATAGGGATGGGTGGATGGGTGGGTAAGTGGACGGACGGGTGGGTGGATGGGTGGATGGGTTGATGATGGGTGGGTGGATGGGGAGATGGACGAGGAAGGAAGATGTACATGACCCGTTTTGGTCCATGGCCCTTGATAACCATCTAACAAAACTACATGGAGACAGTGGCTCCCCAGGACCCCCTGCCCTTCCCTCTCCCCTCAATGAAGGCAGGGCTCAAAGAGGGCAAAGACACGTGCCTGGAACTCTTTCCCTCAATTCACTTTTTAAAGGAATGTACGAGAACACCACAACAAACCCCATAGCTTTATGTGTTGACTTTTAAACAGTTATCTATTTTTGTTTTATGTATGTGAGTATTTTTTCCTGCACGTATGTCTGTGCACCACGTGTTTGCCTGGTGCCCACAGAAGACACAACAGGGATCAGATCTCCTGAACTGGAGTTATGGAGAACTGTGAGCCATCATGCGGGTGCTGAAATCCAAACCTGGGTCCTCAGAAAGAGCACCAAGTGCTCTTAACTGTTGAGTTATTTCTCCAGTCCTTTCGTGTGCGGATCAAAAATCAATAATCAATCAATAAATAAAATTAAAATGTCCGAACCCAGTGGCTCCTGGCTATTCCGCTACGTCCAGCAGAGGGCGCTGTGTGCCTGAGCTGAGCACAGGACAACCACTGCTCCGGGCGTCTAGTCTGGAGTCTGGTGGGCCCTCGAGTAGAGAGGGGTACACTTGGGAACCCTGTTACTCCCACTGATGCCGACAAAGGAATAAACTGCCCTCTGGGGCCTCAGCTAGCCTGAGGTTCCACAGGCGGTATGCCTCTCCGGTTCAGCTGTGTGGGACCCCTCTCCACCTGGTACCAGGGCCACTCCCTAATCCACTCTCTTTGATCCTTGAGCCAGGAAGACTCCCTGGATCCTCCCCACACACAAACTGGAAATGGAGGCTCAGAGACTGCACTTAACTCCTTTGAGGTCACCCAGGGAGCAAATGGTCAGACCAAGGCCTTGGATCTTCTGCCCCGCCCGCTCCCGCTCCCTGCCGCCTCTCAGTCCGCAGGACAAAGGGAGGGTTCTGAATCCTGCTCCACCCCGTGGGCATCCCAGACCTCTGGCTATTGTTGGGTGTGCTGCAGAGGTGCGGGGGTGGGGTGGGTAATGGAAGAAATGTGTGTCCGCGGATGGCATGAGCTTGGTGACTCAGAGCGGTGGGTGTGACAGGAACCTGAAGCCCCTGTGGCGGATGGTGGAAGGCTGTTTCCCACTTTAGCCTGGGTACTGAGAACACAAAGATCTTGTCCATTAAACAGGGGCAGGCTTGGGGTGCAGTTGACAAGCAGTTGGGGTGCACTATATCCCAGTATCCCCCAGGCTCTAGAGATGAGCAAGGGGACAGACCCAGGTACATGAAACAGAAGTAGAGCCACGTGAGAGGATGGGGAAGGGGGAAGGGAACTGGGACAAACAGCAAACCAGAGGGATCCAGGAAGAAGTGTCCACCCTGTGTCTCTGAGGATTGACCCCATACTCTTTCCTGCTAAATTCTGGGCTCCTTCTAAGGGATCTGCTCTTTGCTTTGGCACTAAATGCTTGGCTGACTCCTTCTAGATACTTCCACGTGGCCACCATGGCCCACAGAGCCCATGAGCCTGGGCAGAGGTGTCCCAGTCTCGGTTAAATTTGAGTCTGCCTCAGCCTGAGCTTCTGCACTCACGGCTTGGCATGGCCGACCTCCCAGGGGGGAAGAAGTCTATTTGTGCCCCGACTGAGTTTAACAGGACTGATATGGAGCACAGTCCAAGAAAGCCAGACTATGGGCTGGTGTGACGGCTCAGGGGGTAGAGGTGCTTTGCTCCCAAGCTTGCCAACCCGAACTTCATCCCCAAGATCCACATAGTGGAAGGAAAGGAGCGACTTCTGCAAGCTGTCCTCTGCTTGCACGCACACACTGTGGCATTCGTGCCTGCACTCACGAGCATATGTGTGACCATGCTCACACCCAGTGCATCAAGGAAAAGAACAGTAGGAAGGAAGAAAGAGAGAGAGAGAAAGAGAGAGGGGGGAGGGAGGGAGGAAGAAAGAAAGAGAGAAAGAAAGAAAGAAAGAAAGAAAAAGGAAAGAAGGAAGGAAGAAAGGAAAAAGGGAAGGAAGGAAGAAAGAAAAGAAAACCAGACCACAGATCTTCTGAGACAGTGGCCCGATGATGTCATGACAGTCAGGTCCCCACCTTCCTCCATCAGAGACCTGAATGCTGGGATTTGTGTAATTTTCACTTCTTGGGGTCCCCCTCAGTCCTTAGGGGTTGTGAAGTGGGAACTGGAAAAGGAGAGGACGGAATGCAGATGAGGAGCCAGGCCCCTGCTGGCCTCCTGTCCACCCTCCCTGCCCAGGACAAGAGGAAACCTACCCTAATGGCTGCCTGTCCCTCAACTTTCCCTTCATACCTTGCTCTTGAACTTCCCACTGTGATGGAGGAAGGTCATTGGTTAAAAAAATAAAGAAACTACTTGGCCCTCATAGGTTAAAACATAGGTGGGAGGAGTAAACAGAACAGAATGCTGGGAGGAAGAGGAAGAGAGCTCAGAGGCCATGCTCCCCTCTCCCGGGCAGACGCAATGATGCAAGCCACCAGGTCAGACATGCTGAAACTTTCCCAGTAAGACCGGTGCTACACAGTTTATTAGAGATGGGTTGATCGGAATATCAGAATAGCCCGTAAGGGCTAGAGCTAATGGGCCAAGCAGTGTTTAAAAGAATACAGTTTGTGTGTTGTTATTTCGGGGTATAAGCTAGCCAGGCGACCAGGAGCTGGGGCGGCAGGAACACAGCCCGCAGCTCCTACAACACCACTGTGCTGAGTTTGTGTGTGGTCCAGAGACAGAAGCACAATTAGCTGTCAATCGTGTCTGTCTCTTTTTCCTGGGTAGGGTGATCATCTTCCTGGCTGGTGACCCCTGGGGGATCCCACCGCCCAGGGCTGGCCCTTGGGACACTGATTCTGTTGGAGTGCTCGGTCTCACCTTTGCCCTGTCTACATTATGGATACAGGGTGATGATGGGAGAGCTTGAGCTGCAGCAGCTGCTTTGTAACACGAGGCGTCTTGCAGAGCCGGAGTCATTGGGGAGGCAGCGGGGAAGGGTCAATGACAGGCACTGAACAAATCCCAAGACATCCAATTCCTGGACTTCTGTCTGAACAGACATATGTAGGGCGTCCGTTGGCTCACTACTATTGGCTGGGTCTGTCTCTTACAACTTGATGTACCACACAGAAGCTTATTCTGAGGAAACAGAAGCCTCAGACTCTAGGCTTCTGCGTTGCGGCTCTTGGCTAGGCTGCCTCATTAAGCCTGTTTTTTTGTTTGTTTGTTTGCTGTTGTTTTTTTCTTTTGTTGTACCAGAGATTGAACCCCAGGCCAGGGGGCACAGGGGCACTGAACAGGCACCTGGGAAATGATACTGGCAAGGAGCAGTGTCCTTGGACCCTACCTGAGCACTCAGGGGTCTGTTTGAAGCAACCTGGACTGAGGAGCTGGGCTCTGCTCCAGGGTGGGCCCCATGCTCCCCAGATTCAAGCTACCTCCCTGGATCCCACACCCCAAGCTTCTGAATGCTCCACCCCATCTTGAATCTGGCTATTTCACGATACCCTGTGGTCCCTCTGCCAGCCTGAAAGAGGGAGGGCAAGCCTTTAACAGGCGGCTGCTTACGCTGTTGAGACCCTTTGTGGCAGGGGTTGTCAGGAGCAAGGAGATGGGGGAGGAATGGCTCCCAGCCAGAGAGCAGGCATGAGGGCCAGGTGCAAGCGAAGACAGTTGGCCCCCAAAAGCTGTGACTTTTAACACCCAGAATGCTGAACCAGAGCCAGACCAAATCGTCAGCTTTTCCTCTGTGCCAAACCCTACCACGGCTTTGGAAAGTGCCCATCAGGCCAACTCTCCTCCCCTGCTCTAAAACCTCAGGGGCAGAAGTTCGTTCCAGCCTCGTCCCCAGCATCCTACCCACCCTTTCCAAGGTTGACCTGGTCCCGGCTGGGGAAACCTTCCACCCCAAAGCCCCCAAGAGATCCTGACTCCGGAGGGAACAGAGGGCCTCTCATTCCCCACAATGCCCTGGGCCTGGGCTGGGAGACCCTGCCTGCTCACATAGGGGTTTGAGCACAGGAGGCTGTGCATGTATAGGGGCCTTGAATATTCTAGGTTCTGCACAATATCCCCCACAGCCTGTCCCTGAACTTCTTTTTTTATTACGCAAGTGTGCGTGTGTTTGCACAAGGTGTGTGGTGGTGCACCTGTGGTCAGCAGACAGCTTGAAAGGGTTGGTTCTTTCCCTTCACCATATGCATGCTGGGAATTGAACTCAGGCCATGGGACTGGGCAGCAAGCTCCCTTAACCACTGGCTCACTGGTCCTCCTCCTCCTCCTCCTCCTCCTCCTCCTCCTCCTCCTCCTCTTCTTTCCTTTCTCTGTCCCTCTCTCTCTGGAGCTCAGGTGAGTCCCACCTAATCCTGCTGGCTCTGTCTAGACATCCAAGCTACTACAGAAGCCCCTATGCCTTCAAAAGGCTCTGTGACCCCAGCAGGACACACGCACGCACACACACCACCCCTCCTGCTCTGGGTGTGGTGGGAACAGAGCATGGCCCTCTAAGGGGCCTGTCGTAGGCACCTTTGATTTTGCCTGCTGCTTTCTGGCTAGCGAGGTGCTGTGATTCAGGATGAAAGCAGGGTCCTCACGGGAGAGGGGGACTGACTCTGAAGAAACTTCACCCAATGTGGAACAAGAGAAGCTGCTGGGCTTGTGAGTTCCCAGCATTTGCTCCACAGCGCCCCCAAGAGGAACCGTAAGATAGACTCCTATTGCTAACGGGATGAGCTGCTGGCAGGCTGCAAGGTGAGCTCCAGGCTCCCAGCTTTGTGAGCTGTGTCACCCACGCTGGGCTTTGGTGATGCAGTTATCTTTGAGCCATTTCTGTTCCCATAGTAACCCTTCACCTATATTCCTATGAGTAACCCCAATAAAACCCATCGGCTCATCAAGTTGGACTTTGGTGGTAGTGGTTCTGGGCTCCATGTCTAGGGTGAGTGTGTCGTGTCTCCCCAGGAAGGCTTGTCACCCAACACACTCCCTAGTGGGACCACAATATGGAGCCTCAAGGGCTGTCTGTGCAGGTACCCAGACAGTGAACACACGTGTCCTATGCACAGGGTTGGTACCCAGACAGTGAACACACATGTCCTATGCACAGGGTAGGTACCCAGACAGACAGTGAACACATGTGTCCTATGCACAGGGTAGGTATCCAGACAGTGAACACACATGTCCTATGCACAGGGTAGGTATCCAGACAGTGAACACACATGTCCTATGCACAGGGTAGGTATCCAGACAGTGAACACACATGTCCTATGCACAGGGTAGGTACCCAGACAGTGAACACACATGTCCTATGCACAGGGTAGGTATCCAGACAGACAGTGAACACACATGTCCTATGCACAGGGTAGGTACCCAGACAGTGAACACACATGTCCTATGCAGGCCCCCCAGACCATCTAACCTTGGCCTCCAGCGTGGTCAGACGCTCACTCATATCGCTAAGCCGGGTACAGTTCATACACTCTGGAAAGAAAAAGAAAGAACCAAAGTGAGGTACAGCATAGGACCCCCCCATCTTCCGGAAAGGGAAGCCCGACTGCAAGGATAGCCTCTAGTGACAGCTGGGTAAGACATGTCTAAGATATTGCCTGGAAAGTCCTCCCCATCCATCAGGGCCTTGTCCTTGAGGCCTATCCCCCTCCTTGCATCCCTCTGTGCTTGGGTCAGCCTGGGTGGGGGACAGTTAAGGAGGACATGATGGAGATGGGGGCACTAACGGGAGGTCTAAAGCCTGCAGGGTGGTTGATACATGCAGAGACCCAGACGGGAGCAAAACCGAAGCAGCATCTACATCCAACCAGCTCATCTGGGGGCTGGAGGGAGGGGTGGCAATGAGCCCGTCCTCACCCCAGAGGGTCTGGGATACAGGTCTGGCAGTGTTCAGAAGCCCATGGGTAGCACTGGAAGGAGGGCTTCAAGAAGGTGAAAGTCGGGTTTGCAGGCTGTAAGGCTCCTTCCGAGGGCTAGGCTAGGGCTCCGCTGGGAGGGAGGGCATTGCCAGACAGCAAGCACTGCAAAATCCAGGCATGGTGCAGGCCTGGGATTCCAGAGGATACACTCCGGATCACCACAACTGTATATCAAGTTCAAGACCAGCCTGTGATACATAAGACCTATCTAAAAACAAACAACAAAACCCCTGTATATCCTTGGGGTCTGTGCACAGTGGCTAATACCTATGATTCCAATATGTGAGAGGCTGGGCAGGAGGCTCAGCGAGAATTCCAGGCTAGCCTGGGCTACAGAACAACTTCTAGGCTAGACTGGGCTACACGGCTATCACACACACACCACTCTTACATACATATACACACCTCTTTCCCTCTTATACACACACCCCTCTGTCTTACACACAACTTTCTCACACACACTCTCTCTCTCTCACACACATTCCCTCCCCTTCCCTCCCCCCTCTCTCTCACACACACAGCCACCAGTAATGAACTCTCCTAGGCCCTCTCCTCTTCTCACTTTAATTATCTGTTTACATCAGTCTCCCCAGACCAAAGCTCTTTAATGTGGAAACAGACGGTCAAAGCCGCTTCAGAGAGCTTTGATTGCTTTAGACCTCAAGGCTCGTCTCTCTGTCCCTCTCTGTTCTTTGCCCAGTTCAAAGCCTAGATTTGTAGGAAGGAACCTCGTTCCGGAGAAACAGATGCCCAGAGACATGGGGGGCATTGCTGGCTGACTGGATAGCTGTGCCCACGTGGGTGCCAGCGCCTTGGACACAGGCTGCTGAGAGGTTGAGACCTTCCAGGAGGGGTGTGGTAAGTCCTGGGGTAATGAGTGTTAGGACAAAAGCACTAGCTCTCTGAGTGTGCACAGGCTAAGCTGGGCACCGGCCTGGTGCCCCATTCAAAGAGAAAATAAAATGAGTATAGTGCACACGTATAATCCCAGCCCTCCAGAGGCGGGGGCAGGAAGGTCGAAAGTTCAAGGCCAAACTGGGGTACAGAAGCCTCTGTCTCAAAAAAAAGTAAAGGCTGGGGAGAGGCTCAGTGTGCAAGCACGAGAATCTGAGTTAAGTCCCCGGAACTCTTGTGGGGAGCACAGACAGGAGGATGGCTGGGGCTTGCTGGCTGCCAGCCCAGGCAGGAAAACAGCGAGCTCCAGGTTCAATGGGGGACTTGGTCTCAAGAAAGGAAAGTGAAGAATGGCAGAGCGGAGCAGTTGATGTCTTCCCCAGGCCTCTGCAAGCGTGTGCACGTGTGCCTGAACCCGCACACGCATGTATGCATGTGCCACACACATATGCATGCCCCGAAACAATAAAACAAAATAAGCAGAGCAAAACCAAACGCAAAGAGATGGCGAGTGATAAGGAAAAGCCAAGAGGGGACTTGGCCAGTGCACACCAGGAAGGGAGCAGATAAAGGGGTCACATGCCCCTAAGTCCATCTGTGGCCCCAACGTAAACTCTTGGCTAAGAGGAAGGGTCAGGGCAGGGAGGGAGAACAGTGTATAATTACAGTTCTGGTCAAGGTGGGGTGTGGGTGGTCACTGTCTTGGTCTGGTTCTGAGAAGAGGTCCAAGGAAGCCTTGTCGCTTGAGGGGACAGGTCAATTCTCAGAAGCAAGCTACTTCAGCACCCTCCTCTTTGTGGATAACTGAGCGTATGGACTCCAGCAGGGGCTTTGATCTGTGCTTTCTGGAATTCAAGGTGACTGTAGGTTTGTGTTTTTTAAAGATTTATTTTACTTTCATTTATGTGTCTGTGTGTATGGCTGTGTGTAAGAGTGTGTGTGTGCATATGAGTGCAGGTGCCAGTGTAGGTCAGAAGAGGGCGTACTATCTCCTGGAACTGGAGTTACAGGAGTTGCATGAGTTCTTGGACCTGAACTCTGTCTTTTGCAATGATGGTGAGTGCTAACCCCTGAGCCACCTCTCCAGCCACACAACTACAGGTCCACAACAAAGGAACCCTCTGTGGGTTCTGGAACAGGAGGACATAGACGCTGACAGTAAGGTGTCTCTGTGAGTCTAATCTCACCATTCACTTCACGATGAGAATGATCAGCTAGATCGGGTATCACCAAGTTTTAGATGGATGCTCCTGAGTGATTTCTGGACCCATGAGTAGAGGTAGCAGCTGACCCAGGTAAAGGATGAATGCAGAGTGAAGGCGGAGACACCAGGCTTCCAGCCTGCTTTTTCTCAGTTACCTTACAGGCCCAGGTGAGGAGGCTGTGCTTTTCAGCACAAGAAGCTTGAAGTGTCCAGTTGTTTTGTTTTGTTTTTGAGATACTGGATATTGAACTAGAGTAAGAGCTCTCCCACTGAGTCACACCCCAGCCCCTCACTGGGGGATCCTAGGCAGGTGCTCTACCACTGAGTCACACCCCAGCCCCTCACTGGGGGATTCAAGCAGGGGCTCTACCACTGAGCCACACCCCAGCCCCTCACTGGGGGATTCTAGGCAGGGGCTCTACCACTGAACCACGCCCCAGCCCCTCACTGGGTGATTCTAGGCAGGGGCTCTACCACTGAGCCACGCCCCAGCCCCTCACTGGGGGATTCTAGGCAGGGGCTCTACCACTGAACCACGCCCCAGCCCCTCACTGGGGGATTCTAGGCAGGGGCTCTACCACTGAGCCACGCCCCAGCCCCTCACTGGGGGATTCTAGGCAGGGGCTCTACCACTGAGCCACACCCCAGCCCCTCACTGGGGGATTCTAGGCAGGGGCTCTACCACTGAGCCACACCCCAGCCCTCACTGGGGGTAGAGCAAGTGCTCCACAATGGAACTACATCCCTGGCTCCTTATTGCAGGGTGCGGGGAGGGCTCTAGACAAATGTTCTACCACTAAGGCCCATCCCCAGCTCTCTTTTTACTCTATATTTTGAAACAAGAACTCACGAAGTTTCTCAGGCTAGTCCTGAACTTATTCTGTAGTCCAGCCTGATCTACATTTTTCCATTTCTTTGCCTCAGACCCCAGAGTAGCTGGGATGACAGACGTGTGGCACCTGGCCCAGCTCTAAGTGTCTGCTACAGTAGGATTACGAGAACAGGTGAGTGGGGCTTTGTCCTCCACCTCCTCCTCCACTTCCATCCCCAGGCTCAAGCTGACAATCACTTAGCCCAGCCCACCTCCTGCTTCCCAGCTCTACTTGACTTAGTGGAAAAAATTGTACGGCTTGCATGGAGCCTTCCCTGCACCACTCACGCGCGCACACACACAAACACACGTACACACACACACACACACACACACACACACACACCAATTCCTCCCTCCTACCCCGGGCTGTTCTGCATCAGTGGTTTATAAACAGGTTTTAGAAACAAGGACTCTTTTCCCCTCTCCATAAAACCCTGTCTCCCCGATATATAAAACAGATTAAAGATGGAGAGATAAACACGGAATATTAACACAAGCAGAGGAATGAGGATGTATACAGTATCCGAGGCCGAGACCGGCAGGACTTTAGAAAGGAAAAGCAAGCGGGAAGTGGTCTTCTGGTTTAACTTGGCAGATTAAATGCACATGTTCCTTAGAGGGGGAACCGGAGGTAAAGAGAAAAATACAGCAGACGTACAACAGAGCGAAAACGCCTGCTGCCAGTGACATCTCGTGAGACTGAGTGCAGTCAGGCATTCAAGCTCATCCTTGCAAACCAGTGAGGGCCAAGTCACAGCCATTGGCCCCAGCTAAGGCTGGAACAGACAGGGACAGGTCCTCTCTGGGATGGGACCAGCCGAAAAGGAAAGGGCCATGGACACTGGAGTCTAGGGAGGCCACCGATGAAACACTGGATCCCAAGAGAGCTGCTTCTTGAGACGCACATGCGTGCGTGCGTGCGTGCGTGAGTACGTGCGTGAGTGCGTGTGTGGGGACGTGGGGGTGTAGGGGTGTAGGGGTGTGGGGGTGTGGATTTGGGTGTGTGTGTTACGTGTTGGTAAACCGGGTCTGCAGCAAGAGCAGGGGCCCTGGAGGATTCCCCGTGTCTCTTTCCTCTCTCACAACCAACGATTCCTGGGCCATTTAAAGAAAAACCTAACAGGGTGGGCAAGAACCAAAAGGAGCGCAGACCACCCGTCTGTCACTCCAGGCCCTGTCTTATGCCGGACAGTGCTCTTTACTCGTCTTCCATCCATTTCCCATGCACCCTCATCCATCCCTCACCGACGCCCCCACCCATCCCCCATCTCATCCTTGCCCCATCATCTACTTTTTTTTTCTGAGACGGGTTTTACATGGTCCAGGCTGGCCTTGAATTCATTGTGTAGCCAAGAAGGACTAAGAACTCCTGATTCTCTTGCCTCCACCTCCTAAATGCTGGGACTAACAGCACACACCACCACACCCTACTTGGCCGTTGTTGCGAAAGTGATTTTCACTTTGAGCCTTGGCACCCCCTGCCCAGATTGGGAGGTCCCCACCCTACCCCAGGGGGCCACCACAAGGAGCCAGAAGACCACAGCGGACCTGGGTTGTGGTAAGTTAGTACCTTGGCCCTTCC